CCGTTCATCAGATCAAGAACAACTGGGTGTTGTCACGATAACGCTCTTCGTCACACATCAATGTCAATAAACGAGTTTTTGGCTAATAAAACATTAATTTTTTCTTTTTCTCTTCCCGAAGTTGAAAAATTACCTCAAGGGATTTGGACATTCAAACGGTTGTAACTGACCAGCTGAAGGGTATTTCAGTACCGGAGTTCCAGCACAGCTATGAGGGGAGGAAGAACCGTCTCCAGCACTGTGCGGCTTCAGAACGAAGTTATTTTGAGGGTGACAATATAAAATTGCAATTATATTTGAATAAAGAAAAACCAGTCTCATCACTTAATTTTAGAGACCTCGTACATTCTTATATGTTGATGCAAAACGTTGCTTCAACTTGACTGACACCTCTAACAAAAACCAACGAATATGAATTACCAAGAATTATTCATTTTTTAAACTGAATGCGACATATCTTACGTAGTTAGGTACTTATAATAATCCAACGATCACGTTTTATCTAAGCAAACATTCGGCTTCGATCGAAGGTTGTAATAAAACCCGCACATCGGATTCGGCTTCGGCTAGTTTATCAGCTATTTTTTTGCACACTCACCATCTTCCTCACTACCAGAAAGACCCAAGTGACTTGGCCACCGACGATATATTTTTAGCTAATCGACGTTTTGACAGCGAGGTAAAAAGGTCAAATGGATCGCCTCGACAATCAATGATGAATACCAATAAAATAAGGCACAGGAGCTCAAATGTCAATTATTGAAACAGGGAAAAACCGGGAACCGCAAAATAAGGTGTGCGATTCTATTAGGCCAAGAGATATGGAAATTTTGTATAAGGTAACCCTACAATAATTGCAACAGTATTTTTTTGGTAGTATCGTTAAATTATTGGCGTTATGATAGGGATGGAGTATTTTGCCGCCATTTTGACGAAAGCGTTTGATCGCAGATCTAGAATACCATCGAGCCTGTGTAAAAAAGTAATAGATACAATTTTGAAGGAAATTAAAACTAGAACAACAGTACTTAAACAAATAATAAACAACAAACTAAAGCTTGAATGCATACAGCTCGTCTTGGAATGAATTATATCCTCTTAGGCTTATAGGTGCTTTCGAGAGAATATAATGTCGACTAAACTGATATGCCATCAATCGTACAGTCTTATAAATGTTGCCAGTCTGAGATATGTCAAAAATAGTGTCAATAAAGTATTGTATGGCTTTCTTTGATGGGAATTGAACTACAAGAAAGGGGGTAATTTTCAAATTATTTTTAACTAACTCCAGCTTTACATTTGGTTTGTTCTGTACAAAACCAAACATTATGGACAACATTCGCACTTCCTTATTTACGTTCACAGAAAAAACTATCAAGCCTTCAGTGATAAAAAGAAGTTAAATCTGTTAACAAGGCAAAATCAAATAAACAGTTCTAATGGTTAAGGTGTAATGTCGCAAAATTCCTTTACCTTACGGTGCACAACAAACCGCCCCAAGCAACAGACACAGTGTTTCTAACCTAAAATCAGACCAGTCTTACCTGATATTTTCTCACAAATGTAGCCAACCTAAATGAAAAAGTAGGCACATTGTAGCAACGTTTCAATGCAGCCAAATTGTAACCAAGCATTTGATATTAGTCGTTTACTCACATTTAGGCCAGGTACAGAGAGCTATTGATGACTGATATCTATTTCATGGTACCGAAAATATAGCCGCCACAAATACACAAAGTTAATATAACATTTATTTACGAAATAATGCCCTCTGTAAATATAGATACTGTGTACAAGTTATTATCTTAAGTAGCCAGTAGCCAAATTAGTTTTCTGGTAGCCAATCTGTAATGTCGCTGATATTAAATTGTCTTTAATTATTTTTAACTTGACAAGGGGCAATGGTTGGTTCCAATGTCGCATTCACACATTGAAACCAACGTTGGCGCCAACATGGTATCATTCAGCGCTAACGTTGGCCAACCCCGGCGAATGCGCACTGGTGTAACGCCCGCATATTGGTGTTGTCCAACGAGCTACAAAAAAATGCGAAATGTGATATTCACACATTGGGCCAACACCAATGTGTGAACGCTAAACCAATGTGCATTGGGTTGATCGACAGCAGGTGACCCGGCGTGAGTGAGCCATCAATAGTCGTTTTCATTGTTTCATGTTATTGTCCACTGGTCAGCAGTTCTTATGCTTTATTGTATCACTTATCTTTATCATTTGGTATTAGATGTATTATAACGTGTAAAGCAATTCATCAAATGTTTCCATTCCCAAAATAGTCTTCCTTCCTCCTTTTTCCTGACTTTATTTACTGTAGTGGGATTTCAAAATAAATTGCACATCAACATTGCCACTTTTTCTCCTCTACAAAATGGCATAATGAGAATTTTAATAAGACGTTTCGTTTCTTGTACTCCAGCATCAGCTTTATTTTTTCTTATAGACGCCATATTGGATTCTCGCACAGATGAGTTTTTAATTCTGATACCAAAAATGTATATTGCCAAGCCTTAAGTTGAATAAAAAAAGCAGAATTGCCTTGAATTTATCAGATTGTCATTTGTTTCGTATACCAGATTTATCCCAAAATCAATTTTACCTTTTCCTGAATTTATTTGAGATGGGATTTTGAAATAAATTGCATGTATGTTGTAATTCTCATCTACAAGATGGCGTAGTAATATTTAAATGGACTTTTCAGTCCTAAATCAGCGATGTATATCCTTAGTTGGACATGAATTACATGTTGGATGCAAATTGTAAGGAAATAAAACGGTATGGTGAAACCTGAACGCAACATGATAATTTTATTGATGGTAATAACAATAATAATAATAAATAAGCAGAGGTAAATCATAGCTGATGTTCAAAATGTCCGTTATTTTGTAGGTAAAGGCTGACTTTTCTCGATTTATTTCTCTTCTTCTTAGTCTTTCAAGCTCTGTTGCAATGTTCAATTTGAGGTCTGGCATGGGATTCGAAATAAATGAAATCAGAAACAAATCAGAATTAAAAACTCTATTCATATGGCTTCCATAATAAAAAATGCAGTTGATGCTGGAGGACAAGAGACGAAACGTCATATTCGAATTCTAATTATGTCATCTTGTAGGGGAGAAAAAGTGGCAATGTTAATGTGTAATTTATTTTGAAATCCCATTACAATTAAGTCAGGAAAAAATTAAAACGAATTTGGGAAATTCGGATTCATCTGTCTCTTCCAGCAAGTACTTTGGAATTCGAAACTTTCTTAGCGGTATTTTGTTGATCCAGTTTGAAACACTCTGTATATCATATTTGTTGAACAAAAGTTGATTACTGGATAGACAAATCGCTAGTATATCAGCACACTATTTGAAAAAGTATATGTTCATTGATAAGATTTCATATTGATTAGGTACGTTAATTAATTTCCTTTAACCTTAAAACAATGAACGTTTGTGTATCGTAGCTAATACTTATCTCAGCACTATTCAGCTCAAAATTATGAATATGCGCCCTGGTAACAGCAAATACAGTAAAACTTAAAAATCCTAGAGACATGCAAGAGTTAAACAGTGATTTTATTTTTATTTTTGGTATTCTTTTTCAACAACTGATCAACAGACACGCAACAACAACACGAAAGATTCCCATAAGCCCGGGATATAAAGTGACCCATTAATAAGATACAAGGTGTTCATAATTTCTACGATATGGACGACATGTCGATCCTGATTGGGGATTCAACATGCATATTTTTAAAATAAAGTTGTGGTGGTACTACTCTCCCAAGATACTACAGACAATTTTCAATTATAAATTTCACTCACTGCAGCGTAATTTCAAGGCACACTTAAGATTTAAGGATGGATTTTACTTCAACATTTCAATGAATTATTTTTCTTCAAAAGAATTATTTTCCCAAGAAACAGTTCGTGTAAAATTAAAGTTATTCCATTTACAAATGCCATAGTTGTTTCAGAAAGTTCAAAGGCGTAAATATGTTTTTCTGCACGGGTCTAACGAGAGACCAGGAGCGGATCCAGGGAGGTGTCCTGGGAGGCGTACCTCCTGAAACATCCGAGTTTAAAACCGAAATGTCTGAGATTAAGAAAAATTGAAACTGTTCTTCAATTTGCAACCGCCCTCCCCCTCCCGCTCGCTCTTCAATTTTCAACTGACGATACACCCCTCCCCTCCGAGACACGGATATATTCCTGAACATGGATCCTGAGCCCCCAGCAGTTTTTTGAGCGCGTAATTTCAAATTCACTGTTTGAGCTACCTTTATCCACAATGAAAATATATTTTTCCCAAGTCCAAAGTATAACTTCAACACTCATATATTTCTTTGAAAGGGAACATTTATTTAGGACAAAAGTTGTAAGGACTGTTTCCTGTTATTTTTGTGCGTACTTTCTGCGCAAAACTGGTGGATACTCCTGTTTTTGAATCACCTTGTATTTCCAGTATTCAATTTGAAATGAAAAAAAAATGATATTCAAAATGTTCTAAAAGTGGCATATGCTACGAAAACTTAGTTCAAAAATATGAATAATGATCACCTACTTTTTGATTTTGTTGGTATTTGTTTGTATGTTCACTTTTGTGTTTACCTAAAAATTGACTTGAAAATGTACATTTTATCAATTTATGTTATATAAACAGACACGGCAAAGTCAAAACAAATACAGAAAAAATTATACCGATCACAAATGAAATTTCGAATTGCAAAATTGTGGTGGAACTAGATGTATATAAGTAGGTAATGTAGCTAATAAAAAACATTTTTTTTACCTGTAAACGAGGTTGACTTGGAATTACAAAATAGCTATAAGTTGCGTTAACTATAGGACTCTTGACATAACATGCACTCAAATCTCATGAAATCCATAAAAATCTCGTGACACTATTTAATTGAGATACATTTGCTCTGCGGAGCACGAACTTTTTTGTAGGTGTACTGGACACGTAAACAGGTTGCTTGCGGTGGTTGAACTTACCTGTTTTCTTGTTAGAGTCCTTATCACCCAGCTGTGTCCTTCGATAGGACGCTTACTACCGAAGGTCCACAAAAAATACTGTACCGTTCACCCACGACACTAACAAAAATCCACCTGTAATTACTTTATTCGACACGACGACTGTGACATTCGTAAGTTTTCGTCGGAGAGCGCATGACCGTGTCTGTAACCACAGTCGACTTTGCGTTACGTTCAACTTCAGCGAAATCGCCGGGAATGACGAAACGCCGCGATTGTTCTGCTGTTTACAGCTGTTCGATGTGAGGTTGCCAGATTGTCTGAGAGGGATTTCTCGGTCGGATGATTTTCACACACTGCGCGCCAGAAATGGTTTTTGGTTACTAATATTAGAGAAATTTATTTTGTATTTATTTATTGACTTTTAGGCGATAATTTTGTTACAGCGTCGCGCTGCTGTTAACAAATTACAGACACTAACTGGATATACCATTTTTAGTATCCCGTAAATACACAGGGTTACTGATGGTAGACGGTAATCAATAGTTTTCGAAGTTTTTCAACTTTTAGCGCAAGAAAACAAAGTTCAGGAAGGACTTAGGGTATTTTGATTTATGCTCAAAATTTCGCCACCACTGCATCGGTTTTGAAAAATGAAGTAACATGACCTACTGCGACTCTATAGCATACTACTATTGATTAACAGAAGGTTTAGTTGTTTCGGAGATTACGAGGATATGAAAACGTCGAGAGACCGAAAAAAATGAGTGACAAATTTTCATCATGCAAATATCTCACTACTTGTTATGTCAAATTGGAAAATGTTCCCGATCCCAGTGCACTTTCCTGCGTGCGTATGTACTGAGAGTGGAAACAATATCGTTTACTACCATTGCATCCAAATCGGTAAAGCAGTTACTGAGATTACGCAGTTATAAAATGACAGCTGCATAAAGCGGAGGTCTAACATCATCTGTCAAGAATCGTTCAGCAGCTTCAGCGCTGTACTTTCGTGAGAGGTACACATTAATTTTCTTGACATTGATATAGACTTACACATCATAGCATATGGAATCACTATTTCAAATATGAAAAAATGCAATCTCCCATCTCAATAAAAATATGTTTTTCTACGTAAGATTGAGAGAATTTCTGTTTTTTTTTAATATTCTCTCTACGGTTAGGAAATACGTGCGTAACACCATTACACTTTTCAAGAGTAGAGAGCACAAAGACATTGGAGTTTTTTTGGCAACATTGGTCGCTTCCTATCCGAGACAATATAGTACAGTCGACAAATCATTAAACTCAGAAATCCGAATAATTATTGAATGATTATGATGCTGAAACGGCCTTTAAACATAAATTGCGCACATTTCGGTTTTGCTTGTATTACATATTTACCTGTTTTTTCTCAACTTGTCCCCTTATAATCAAAACTGGAAATAAATATAAGATCTGGTGACTATTATTCAGTATTATCTCTAATAGGAAAATCTTGAATTGCATTTATCCCTCGAAATTGAAGCAGCGTTTTTGTTCTTGTGACTAGACTATCAGTTGTATAACTATAGAAGCCAAGTCGGATGAATTCGGTATTCGATGTCGAGAGTTAATTAGTATACAAGTATCAACCCATTGTATGTATCTTTCTGTTAAATAACTGTACAACATCTGTTAATGTTAAATAGTGCAAATGCGAAGCGCTGAAAGGCTGTACGTTAGTTATTGTGTTATGACTACAGATGCGTGATCTATTAGTTTGGGTATCCCAGTCCACTCTTTTTTAGAGTTTGGAAGTCAGAAACGCATAAAGGAGTTTAAGTGGTATAATGGTAAAAATCCTCGGATATAGGTTATAGGTAATTGAAAATTTCAAAATATGTACAGAGTAGATAGACGGGAAGAAAAAATACGGATTTGGAAAACGGATTATGATAGGTCTTACATCAATTTATTTATTTTAAAGGACAACAACGGTTTTGCTCTTACAATCACATATTTCACCTAATTCTATTTTTTGTGTATCTCCATCACATGAACAGTTCAGCAGATAAATGTAAACAATCTTTCTTGTATCTATATATAAAAAGAGTCTAAAGTCTACTTATCGTATTATTGTCATTTTTACGTAATATCCACTGTACAGTCCCTTTCACTTATCTTCTGCGCATTCTTCCGCATCCATACAATGTATCCACATTTTAACAATGTAAAAAATGCCCTGAAAGAAAATAGTTGTTATATATTGATGTTAAGCCACACGAAATAAATGTATAATAGTCCTAGATCCTATGTCCATCATATCTAGTGTCCGACCGAACTTTTTTGGAAAATCAGTTTCGCTTTAATTTCAGTTTCGGCAGAAAATTTACGTTCGTATGTTTTTGAGCACCTTCGGGCAAATTTATTCAGACCAAAGGCTGTGCCAAAGGAAAAATGTTGAAAAATTGTTATTTAGTAATATAATATCACACTGTTTAATTATGTTTATTAGAATACGTTCTAATGGCATGTCGCAGCAACATTGAATTTGAGTTTTGAAAGCGCACAGAAATCTAAAATCCATTTTTGAAGACTAAAAATGTATAAGACGATATTTAACCTACAAAAGTTGAACGTTTAAGTAAAACACAGTCAAAAAAATTTTAAACGGTGTTTAAGTACTTGTGCTATAGAAGTCTTCAAATTAAACTAGGCTTCCATCTAAACCAAGGTTAAATAGTATTGGTGCAACAGGCCATAGCTTGTTATTTTTGGTGTATTGTATGTGTTTTTTACAAAATTTTGGAAGCAAAAAGACATTATTTATTTTGTGTTTTAAGAGACAAATGTAGTACTGTTTCAGTTTTCTTTACCTGAGTCTTAATAATATTTGCTAGACTGATTATTACATATTACTATACATGGAGTTTGTTTTTTTCTTTGATAAACTGCTGTTGTTATTACTAATATTGATTGGCTGAAATACTAGTTTCGGTCGGATACTAATCATATATATACCCTATTTCACGAGAATCCATCACGCTTTGACGTCTACTGAGGTAAACAGCTGATCAGCAAGTGACATTTTTGTGTTAGTCTACAACGTTGGCAATAATGGATCGGGTATAAATCTAGTAAAGCTTCTATGTGGCGTGGCATGTTGTTTTTTCTATGCAAATGAACTTTTCTAAATAAAAGAGCTATTAGCAAGTACAAAAATCCTAAAACAAAATACGGCTCTGTCTACCTGGCGTTGACGCATCCGTCGGAATTATTATCCTGTGGCGATATGGGGAATTTTGAGATATTACTAGATAATCAGTTGTGATTCTACCGTGAGGATACTCGTGAAATAGGGTATATGTTAACGAATTTGAGTTTGGTAGATCATAATTGCAGGTTAAAACATTTTGAAACTTGACATTCGTGCTTTCGTACGTGAAATAAAAAATGGCATGAGTATGCTAATATACCACGGGTATCCAATATAATTAAGGGTGTTGCAGGTTCTACGTAGTCATGCCATAAGTTCTGTCCCTCGTTTTCAAACAAGTGTAGACCTGTTAATACTTGTCCGATTGTTTACATTGTGGTGTCAGTTGATTAAGCGCTTTTCGGGTAATTACATATACCTCAGTTTGTATTGATCTCTCGAAGCATAACGATGGAGTGGGGCAAGGCAGAGAACCGTATTGCAGTGATAGCTTTACATAAGTGTAATCACAGTGCTAGTCAGATTTTTGAACTCTTACGCGGCCTTCAAATATCGCGTAAATTTGTGTCTAGGACCATTCAGCGGTACAATGAGACGTCCTCTGTTGATGACAGGCCAAGAAGCGGAAGACCTCGTCAAGTAAGGACTCCAGCAGCCATCAAAGCCGTAAAAGCCAGGATTCAAAGGAATCCACTCCGGAAGCAGAAGATCCTATCCAGGGAAATGAAGATTCCTGTCCGGACGATGTCGCGCATCATTAAACAAGACCTAGGGCTAGGGGCTTACCGGAGACGTACGGGCCAGCGACTTACGGCCACCTTGCGACACATCAGGGCGACAAGATCCAAGAAGCTCTTGGAGAGGTACGCAGCTGGGGGATTCCGAAAGATTTTGTTCACGGATGAGAAAATCTTCACCATAGAAGAAAAATTCAACCGACAAAATGACAAAGTGTATGCAAGGAGTTCACAGGAAGCTTCGGAGATCATTCCGAGAGTTGAGAGAGGCCACCACCCTGCGTCAGTCATGGTTTGGTGGGGGGTGTCCTACGAAGGGGTCACTCAGCTCCATTTCTGTAAACAGGGCGTGAAAACAAAAGCGGCAAACTATCAGAGCGACATACTGGATCCTATCGTCAAGCCTTTAAGTGGTACATTGTTTGCCAACCAACACTGGGTCTACCAGCAGGATTCCGCCCCCGCTCACAAGGCTAAGAGTACGCAGCGCTGGCTGGAAAGCAATGTGCCAGAGTTCATTGCTGCGGAAGATTGGCCCTCAGGGAGTCCGGACCTCAATCCTTTAGACTACAAGTTGTGGGACCTGCTAGAGCAGTTGGCCTGCTCCAAAGCCCACCGTAATATCGAGTCCCTGAAAGCGGATTTGATCCGATCAGCGGCAGCTATTCCTTTGGAAGCTGTGCGTGCAGTGATAGATGAGTGGCCCGCGAGATTGAAGCAGTGTGTGAAGGCCAAGGGGGGACATTTTGAATAAAACTGTTTGATTATGAATTCTAAAAATGTTGTCGAATAAATAATATCTTTCATATAAATATATCTTATCTTGTTTCATTTTTATCATGAGATTATCATGGGACAGAACTTATGGCACGACTACGTACATTGTAAAAAGTCTCATTTACATTTCCTTTCTGTTCAAACTGGTTATCAACGATCCGGTTTTGAAATTACCAAGTTTGTATAAACTTGGGGCATTTGAATAAAGTGACAAAATACACATAGAAGTTGGCTTTATACTCTTCAGTTTTTTTTGTAATCAGTCTTACAAATGAGGTAACTTTTAAGACATATATGGATTTACAAAAAATAGCAATTACCAATTTGCATCCATACAACGTCTGAGGATATCTTGGCACAGAAGAACTTTGTATCAAGGTCTGGACATAACCTGCTGAATTTCTATCTATAATAATGGTGGATATTCCGGTGACACATTCCCTTGTATTAAGATTCTAAAATATCTGGCCAAACTTCAACGGGTGATTCTAAGAAAATATGTTATGTATACAATATAAAAACCAACTAAGAAAAAATACAAATGATCGTCGTCGCCTAGATCGCCCGACTGGATTTCGTTATATTTCTTCTGTGGGAGTTTGGGCTTCCCAAAGGAACTTTGTTTGTTTTGTTTAAATTCTTTAGGAAGGAGCATCATTGTTGTTCAAATATTTTCAATCGAAAAAAATTGTTTTAACTTTTTCTATTATCAGCTAGTAAAAGGTTGATTGTGAAACCGTATTTTTTCTTTTATTTATTTTTTCTTTTTAGTGTTTGTGATGTCAAATAACTAGTTTGGTAATTTCTATATAATTTTCGTACATTTTATTAACAGAACTACATAAAACTACTCACTTTATTGGTGTTCCAAAATTTCGATAGATGCAAATCTCGTAATGATGAATCAATATTTTGCGACGGTTGCCATATGGAATTTAAAATGACGCTTGATGTGGTTCTCTCATTGAGCCTTTTTATTTGATACCCATAACATGGCGTTGGCCATTTAGCGTTTGCGTGTTATTGTATTTAGAATCACGTCTCTGTGCTCATTATGTTTCTCACATCAAGCCCTTTCATTTGATACCCATAGTACAGAGGTGACTATGAAAATTATAAATCGCAATTTTGGTGCAGCCGCGTCGTATTTCTAATTATATTTTTCTCATCGAGCCTTTTAATTATAGAGACGACTGTGGTAATTATAAATGCCATCTTGGTGCGGTCGCCATATTGGCTTTAGATTTACCTCACTGCGCTTATTGCGTTTCTCTCATCAAGACCTTTCATGTGATACCTATATTCCTTATTAGAGGGGTGACTGTTAAAAACGTAAATCGCAATTTTGTAGCGGGCATCGTATTGGATTCAGAATGACGTCACTTTGCTTATTGTGTTACTCTCATCAAGTCCTTTCATTTGATACCCATATCAAAAGGGTATCTATGAAAAATGTGAATTATCATTTTCGGTGGCCGCAATATTGGACTTGACAATGACGTCAATTTGCTTATGGAAATGATAAATCGCAATTTTTTAGAATCCGCCCATATTGAATTTAAAATGGCGGCAGTTAATTCATTTTGTATTGACACGCAAGCCAAACGTGTGTATTAAATTTCAGCTCAGTTGGTTAAAGTTGACTGGTTCAAAATTCAGTTTCAAGATTTGTCTCATTACACTTACTAACAAACAATTATTCAAGTTATGTAAAATAACTAGTAACTATAATAACAGCGTCTTTTAATTTTTCGCATAAATATTGCAATATAGGACAAACGCCCTAACAAGTCGGCAAAAAAATATAGTACATACCTAACCTCTGACCGCTGAATGAAACCTCTACTATCTTTTGTATAAAAATGGCTACCGTGGTGGCCGAAATATCGTGTCAGTAAATAGTAATTCGAACATATGTGGTTTCATTTCCCGTACAGACCAATAAGAAGGATTGATCTGTCTTCTATTCGTTATTGTCTGTCATGGTTGAAGTCTTGCATACCTTATTTCACGAGTATCCATCACGCTTTGACGTCTACTGAGGTGAACAGCTGATCAGCAAGTGACATTTTTGTGTTAGTCTGCAACGTTGGCTATAATGAATCGGGTGTAAATCTAGCAAACATGTGTTTGTAGCGTTCTGTTTTTTGTATGCAAATGAACTTTTCTAAATAAAAGAGCTTTTAGCAAGTACAAAATAAATCTGTAGCGTACAAAAAACTAAAACAAAATATGGCCCTGTCCACCTGGCATTGTCAGGTCCGTCAAAATGATGTGTCCTTTTCCGATATGGGAAATTTTGAAATATTACCAGATAACCAGCTGTCATTGTACCGTGATGAATCAAATCCAAGCGAATAACCAAAATTTCTGTGTTATGTACCGGGGTTATGATATGGTTTAAGATGACACACGGGTTAATGATGTCAGTTACTCGAATCGCTTGGTCTTAACCGCGGTTTTGTTGTAGGTTGTTTATTTTAAAAAAGCACGTATATAATTTCTGTTTATTTTTATGATCACTTAACGGGGTCCTACAATCACGAGCACCATCTGCTGAGGTAACGGGGGGTGAAAAGGAAACGAGGGTGGGGTGGCCCTAGACGGTCGTCGGCGCGACTTTGAAAGAGGAAAGGATGATTGCGGGTGCATACCAAGGTAAAATTTTATAATAACAGGATCGGATTTCGATTAGCGATCCAGCCTGTAAATCGTTTCCTATTTTGGTACTCAGGAAGTGATCATTTAGTATTTTTCTCCCCTTTTTACTGTTCGTCGATATTGTGTTGTTGAATTGTTGTGCTATACTCTTGTTGGTGTGATTGTTCTTGAGTGCCTTTTTTTATCAAGGTTGATAATGGACAATAAAAGGTCATATGCGACCATTTTAATTACGAATGCAGTGAGTTTAATTCATGATGAGGTCAACAATAGCGTGGAGCAGTTCAACTGTATAATCGCAAAATATATTGGGGAGTCAGCGAATAAATTATTGCAAGAAGAGGTCTTACCATGGAAGAAACGCAAGAATCTTGAAAAGAAACTCTGGCCAAAACAAGCTGATATAAAATTAACTAACAATTCGGATAGCAATTCCAAAGAAAATGAATAGTTTTATGGTGAATTCTGTCAAAAACCTGATATGTACGATAATTTTAAAGTTCCACGCTAAATTCCCCTATACTTGACTGGAGTGATATCGGAATTCATTCTTCCCTACTGTCGGCAGTTGCAGATAGATCTGTTGGCTCTTGGTGTCAAACCTATAGGTACTAATTTTTTCAAATGGTGAGCACATGATTCGTCGGATTTTCGTTACTTAAATTTCCTGTAATCACTGGGACCAGAAGCTTCTTAATAATAGAACGTGTTTCACTGATATCAAAGATGCAACATTTAGAATCACCTTCCCCAACCCCCACTTTTTAAGCAGTACATTTTTTTATGTCAATGATAAGGAACCCCTGTAACGTCAAAAACGGAGTTTCAGCAATTGTTACTTTTTCTTTTTTGTCTATAGCACCCTTGCCATTGGACTAAAACTACAAAGCTTTGGCATACTAGTAACCCCGTGTGGAAATTCCATAAATATCCGAGCGGTAATTTCCAGGTTGATGATGAGTGATATAGTTTTTCGTGATGTAGGTGTCATATGACTTAAAAACCATAACATCTCGTTTTAGAAATTTTTCGCGATTACAATACTTCCTCGCCACTGGCGTGGGAAGTAAAACGGCCTTAAACTCGAGGAGTATCAGCGATCGCGATTATGAGTACCTATTTGCAGAATGACGTATATATGCGATATTATATGAAATAGGGCCACCAAATTATCTGAATATTCTTAGTCTGTACATTGAGCCGCGACGCTTGGGTTGACAGCACGAAACCGTAGACAAAATTCGTTCAAAATACGATTTGTAGAGGTTTGCGCGCTTCGAAATTGATGCTTTATTTTTTGGTATTTTTGAATGAAATTTTCATACTGTGCTGAAAACAAAACCCCACAGGGTGCTATAGAGCCACTTTTTAATTTTTTTCACTAGATCCTTTTTAAAATATCGCGACGTTGAACAGAAGAAGTGCGCGCTTCAACCCATCATAAAACTTGTGCAAAAACAAAATTTCAAAAAGTGCTCCTATAGCACCCTGGGCAATTATCTTCTGAACATACATATGAATTTCATTCAAAAATATTGAAAAATGGAGTGTCAGTTTCGAAGCAGCTGAACCCTTGTAAATGGCTTAAAACTCACTGCGTCGGAGCCGCCTTAATAATCGGTGCTTTTTGGTCTACAACAGTGTATGGAAAGTTTAAAAAAGAAACCTTCCATAATATTAATGGCAGAAATGTGTTTTTTTTTTTCAGAAAGTAATTTTTAATGATGGAACCATGGCTTTGTAGCTATGATAATTTTCAATTCTCATGCATTGATTTAGCAGGAATGTTAGGAAAAACCGTATACAGGTGGACATTATCCAGTGAGTTTATATGGCCATGTTTTAATATTCTTGTGGTATATGGCTACACAGGATACTTTGTTAACCATAGGAACTAGATTTAAAGTGTCCCCAATAACAGTAATGAGTATAACTAATAAGGTGCTCTACTTTATACTACAACTGAAGTCAGCCTATATCAAGTTTCCCAAAAATGAAGTACAACAAAAATATCCAATACCCAGAAAAATTCTAATTTGTCACATTTCAAATAATAACCAGAAATATAAAACTACTCCTGAGTTGGGTAAATACCACAATTTTGCGGTGATAACTATGACAGACAGGGTTTGTCCGGAAAGTATTAGGACTGAGTCGATTTAAAAAAAATTATTGAGCCAATCGTTACAATTCTTTAAAAACTTTCAAAATAGGCTCCTTCTGCTTCGATGCAGCGCTGCCAGCGCGATTTCCCAGCATTGAAGGCGTCACGGAAGGCATTCTCCAGAATAGCCTTGAGAGCCGCGGTGCATGCTGCTTAGATCTCCTCTGTGGTCTCAAAATGCTTGCCCTTCATGGGCCTTTTCAGGCGAGGAAATAAAAAAAAGTCCGGGGGGCACATCTGGGCTGTAGGGCGGCTGCGGAAGCGTTGGGATGCCAGCCTTGGTCAGGTAGCTGTTCATAAGAAAGGCGGTGTGAGCCGGGGCGTTGTCGTGGTGCAACTTCCAGTCGGCTGCGATGTCTTGTCGGACCCGACTGACCCTTCGTTTGAGTCTCCTGAGCACTTCCTCGTAAAACTTGGCGTTGACGGTTTGTCCAGGAGGAACAAATTCATGGTGGACGATGTCTTTGATGTCAAAAAAGACAATGAGCATCGTTTTCACTTTGGATTTGCTCATTCTTCCCTTTTTTGGGCGAGGAGACGCCGTCGTGTGCCACTCGGAAGATTGCGTCTTTGTCTCGGGATCATACTCAAAGATCCACGACTCGTCACCTGTGATTACGTTATTCAAAAATTGGAGGTCACTTTCACACATGTTCAAATTTTCTTGGCACACTTCCACTCGCCGCAATTTCTGGTCGTCAGTGAGCACTTTTGGGACCATCTTCGCGCACACCTTGCGCATGTTCAAATGCTGTGTCACAATGTCATGAACCACAGATTTTGGTAAATTTAACATCTGGGCAATTAAACGAATACTTAGTCGACGGTCTGAGTTCAAAACTTTGCGCACACGAGTCACATTATCGGTGTTTGTCGAAGTCGAAGGTCTTCCAGCACGGTCTTCATCAGCGACCTCTTCCCGGCCCTCCAAAAAGGCCTGGTGCCACCGAAACACACCACTTCTCGCTAAAGCAACACCTGAGTAAGCCTGCTTGATCATATCAAACGTCTCTGTCGCAGATTTACCGAGTTTCACACAGAATTTAATCGCGTACCTCTGCTCTAACGAACCCTGCATTTTCGGCTTGCACCACTCACAGAAACACGTCTCGCGAAAATGCCTGTCCTGACTCTCCAAGTGCTCGGAGACAACTGACCAGCCGCTCATTCGTTAGCTAGGAACGCCCTCTACCGAATCCAGTCGGTGCGCGCACGCTCGGAAGTACAGTCATGGCGGAAGAAAATGGGTCCTATTACTTTCCGGACAAACCCTGTATAACAGCTGATTCATGACGTCACGGATCTTATAACCAAATTGATAACCACACTCGCTTGAACGAGTGGGTAAATACCAGTCCAGGATGGTAAATACCATTTTCATTTGTTTGAATTTGATTATGTATACTCGTGAAATGAGGAACAAGTCAGTAAGTCAGGTTTGGTTACCCAGATACCAGACCGAGGTAGGCGTTGGTTTGCCGTCTGCCATTATTTTTTCACCAACCAAAAGAACAAGAGAACTTAACGTTAAAACGAACCTTGACTATTATGTTTGTTTTTGATGCTGTACAACGACTGTGGTCGGTGACGTTTTGAAGCATTGCAGCAGAAAACCGGTGTAGATGAGGAAGGCAACCATGATTGCCATGAGGGCATACATGAAAAGGTTCAGTTCTGGTTGCCGGAAACGGTTCTTTCGCAACCATTCTAGTACGTCGGCTTCGGAATGTAAATCACCTCTGCAAAAGAATGAAAAAGGAAAACAAAAATGTAATTAAATTCCAAATAGATTGACAAGAACTTTACATGAATGACTAGAAGTGTTTTGATTGAGCTTCAAAATGCGGAAGAATATTAATGAATATACAAAAATGGTCCAAATACATTACAGAATTTCCAAACTTCGAAAATCCTTACACAAAATAAACAATGTTCAGATTTATATGAAATTTTTAAGCCTCTATAAATAAAATGACTAAAATATAAGAGAAACAAAAATTGGACGGAAAGAGGTTGTTACGATTACGGTAATTGATTTCTATCGACTATTTCAAAAAAATATGAGAATTCAATATGCAAAGTTTTGAGGATTTTCTGTGGTATCGTTTCGCCAATGTATCGACTTCCAATTTTAGCATTACAGGAATCTTATCTAATATAACCCATTATACATTGTGGTTATTCATATTCTGTTATTGCGACAAAAGCTACAGTCGGACTGATAGATAGACCGATATAAATGAGCGAGCTCGTTCTTCGTGATGCAGATCATTTCGAAACTATCCCACAGGTTGTTCAATTTATAAATGTAATTGGAGATGTATATGAGTACATGTTTAACGTTTACTTACCTGTATATGCTAGGAAAACGTTTTCTAAAGTAGACAATCGCGGGTAAATGTGTGACACCCCATTTGCGAGCATACCTCGCATCCGCCATTTTGACAAACTTTATGTCAAAGTTGTCTGTTTCGCTATCGATGTTCTCTAATTTTTCCATTATGATTCTGCTCTCTTCTGCATTTGGCTCATCTGTAAATATCATTACCAACCATAATTAATAGCGTTCTTGTATAAATAATGCGAATAGTGAAAAGTACGTAATACATCCATTTCCATCCAATGATAAAAAATGAAGGTACGCATCTAGGGCTTTTGATGCTAAACAAATTGATAAATCACAACAAAGTTTTTTCGTCCGAGTTTCAAAATTTTATCTAAATCTGAGTGGTGCTTTTGGATTTAGACAGGCCAAGGATTCCCGTATTATCGGTCAGGCAGAAAGACAGAAAATGAGATATGTTTTTTGAATGTTACATGACAACATGTACATCACAAAAAGTCATGTCACTTTTTTCCGTTGGTCTCTGTCCGCTAATCCTCGACCTCTGTATAACTTGGAAACTACCTTTCGGATTTTGATGAGGTTTGAACAAAGCTACCACTCTGTCAAGGCTAAAAAAGCTTTGTAGTTTTTGAAAATCGACCCAATGGTGGCGGAGCTACAGGCAAAACGCTAAAAAAATAAAAAAAAAAACGTTCAAATTTCGATTTCTGATATTATAGTGGTTACTGATGATTTTAAGAAACATTTTTGTAGGATTAAAAGGAAGGAAGGATTTTTTTGCATTAGTATATACAGGGTGTTCCTTAATGATATGCGAATATTTAAGGATGTTAATCTACATGAAAACTTAATGTTAGCTTGCTTCATAAACTATGGTCCAAAAATGTTTCCTTACAAAAACTCGGGGTGTTGAAGTTTTAGGAAAAAATAGAAATTAATTAATATTTTCAGAACCGCTTCAGATATTTCACTGATGTTCAGTACGTAGTGAAAGTTAGTAAAGTTGCATATTTTTAAATGCAAAAATAAGTTTTAGCTTTAACAGTGGCGTGCGTACGGGTATTAATTTCGATATTTTTTAAGAAAAAATGGTACGCCAATGGATTTTAGCCAAACAAAAATTAATTTTGAATTCCCTGTTCAATTTAAAACAAATGATCTCTCTTGAATTGTTTTCTTTCGATGCGCCATTTTTGAGTAAAAAAAAAAATAAAACCGTTCTATTGTCCGAGAAAATTAATGTAATAAGTGAAGAATGCAATTTAGCAGTAAATATCTAGTTGCTCTGGAACATGGCTTTTGACATCTGACAAGTCTCTGTTATTCTAATCTGTTCGCTGTGACATCTTTTTCATTATTTAGTTTTTACAATCTTGTCAATAATGGTGAATTATTCAAATGCAGAAATGGCGGAAACGTATTACGTATATGGCCTTGCTAACGGTAATGGTAAGCAAGCCAGACGGATTTATCACCAGAGATATTCCGATCGTGATTTGCCAGATAGTCGAACCTTTTCTGATATTCATCGTCGTCTTGTTGAAACTGGTTCTGTCCGAAAAGGAACATCTGAAGGTAGACCTCTAAGTGTGAGAACACCTGAAATTGAGGAAGCAGTGCTGCACGATGTCGAAGAACATCCTGAAACGGATACGGGGAAGGTCGCTAGACACTTAAATATTTGCCATCAAATTGTTTGGAGAACTTTTGTGGATTTTTTGTTATATCCTTACCATATTTTAAGAGTACAGGCATTACTTCCCATTGATTTTCCAAGGCGTGTGACCTTTTGTCAGTGGTATCTTCAAAAAATTACACAAAATCCGCAATTTGAATCAACGATTCTGTTCACGGACGAAGCTAAGTTTTCTTGAAATGCCATTCAGAATTTCCACAATAGTCACTTGTGGGCAGAAGAAAATCCCTATGCCGTAACCGAAACCCATTTCCAGCACCAATTTTCGGTTAACGTGTGGGCAGGAATTATTGGCAACCACTTTATTGGCCCATTCTTCCTGCCGGGACGACTTGACGGACAGACTTACCTCAATTTTCTTCAACAACAGTTGCCTTTACTGCTTGATGATGTTCCGTTAGTAATAAGAAACAACATGTGGTACATGCATGATGGTGCACCAGCGCATATCAGTGTAGCGGTTCGTAATTATTTACAAACTGTTTATCCAAATCGCTGGATTGACCGCGGTGGGCCTCAAGAATGGCCACCAAGGTCCCCAGACCTCAACAGTTTAGATTTCTTTTTGTGGGGCTATCTTAAGATACTAGTGTACACAACTCCCATTGACACTGTAGAGGAATTAAGAGAAAGAATAGTTGCAGCTTGTGATAGAATAAAAACACTCCAGGGATATTTCAACGAGTGCGCAATTCCATGAGAAAGAGGGCGGAAGCATGCATACTAAGTGAAGAGGCCCATTTTCAACAATTTTTGTAATCATCTCGTTGGTTTTAATGTTATGTTTATGTTGTCAGCTGTTATTGTTCATTACCCCTAATGTGTTTAATTTTTCCAATTAAATTAATAACAATTTTGCAAGTTAGACAATAGAACGGTCTTTATGTTTTTACTCAAAAATAGCTCATCGAAGGAAAACAATTTAACAGAGATCATTTGTTTTAAATTGAACGGGGAATTCAAAAATAATTTTTATTTGGCAAGAAACCACTGGCATACTATTTTTTTCTTAAAAAATATCGAAGTCAATACCCGTACGCACGCCACTGTTGAAGCTAAAAATTATTTTTGCCTTGAAACATGTGCAATTTTATTAACTTTCACTACTTACTAAATATCAGTGAAATATTTGAAGCGGTTCTGAAAATATTAATTAATTTAAATTTTTTTCGTAAAACTTCAACACCCCGAGTTTTTGTAAGGAAACATTTTTGGACCATAGTTTATAAAGCAAACTAACATAAATTTTTCATGTAGATTCACACCCTTAAATATTCGCATATCATTAAGGAACACCCTGTATACGCTCCAAGTCCAGACAATTCTAGGCAGCTATTAGTACATCTTTCACACATCATGGATTATCCCGTACCCCTGCCCTTAAAACGCGAACTCTACAAACAAACTATATCGATGTGTAGAAAATCCTTTCTACGCCTGACCTCTCACCGCTGGCTTATGACATGCCTGACTGGTGTAGGTTCAGCAGCGTTGCCAGATGATCGGTACTGTCGGTCTGGCAGAGAAGACACGTCTAGATCACAGTGTTATCAAATAGGCGGGGACCTTGGGCTAATTGTATTATTTTGTGATATACGTTCGTAGTTAACTATTTACTCAGAGGGGCTAACATGTGTCGAATGTAATCCTTTTGTGAACTGCTGCTAGCTTTGCGTAGGAAAGGTAGAGTCAGCCTTCTTGACGCTACTTTCTCGTTATGCAACATCAAAAAAAAAACATGATCACAAATTCAAAAGGTTTGTACAGGTAATGTAGATAATTCCCTAGTTTATCCTATAGAAGTGAAAAATGTATTAAGTCTTTAGAAGAACGACAATAATTTTAAAGAAGCAATGTGCACAATACCGTACAAAAATGACAAACAGGCACACCTGTATAACACCATAAACAGAAACAGCGAAATAAAATTAATGGCGCAGGCTGAGAGCGCAGAATCAAAAAAAAAACACTGCACGATGTCAACGCAAAAAAAGCTAACCCAGGCGGTTAACCATTCGAGCAACTAACCCTAACCGCGCCCAAGTTTCTCGGCGACCATATTACCATTTAATGCTTTATTTCTGAATGATATATAATACTTGTCTCAGAATACTGGGTTTGAGCTGGAGCATACGATATTTTCTTGGGAACTGAGCAAACCTTCAGTTATAGACCTAAGGGGTGCCGTGGCAGGCCGTATTTACAATAACTATCTGGCATTAGCATTTTTATGTACCTAAGACCATCAGCGATACAGCGATTCTTATACTTTGCTGTACCACTTAAATAGTCAGTTCCAAACAATAAACATCAGCCATTTTTCAAGGTTAAGATCAAATGAAAATCTTAGTGATCATCGTTCAAAAATAATTTTGAAAGAATGTTTCAACATTATTGGAGAGAAGTTATTATTGTTAGTTTTTAGTGTATGGCGAATTTCCTTCGAGATTGAAATGTTCTACAATTACTCCTGTTCCAAAAGTGCAAAATAGTTATACAAGGTGCGGCAGAGAGGACGGACGTTTTTGGGATGGGTAGTACTCACCGCCTCCGTCTACGAGAGAGGTGGGGAGGGTGCCGTTTGACTTGTGAGATCCTAGCATTATTTTACTACAGTATATTCAGATAAGAGATAGACCGGATGTAAACAAAAGGTTCGGGTGATATTCACGCTAACGCCGCCGTCTCGACGTAAAATAGGAGCCCTCATTGGTCAATTCGCAATTAAATGCCTATGCCGAGCGGCAGAGCAGTCGTATCAAGGCAGAGTCACATTCAGGTTCAGACGTGTTACGTATGTCGTGTGCATCATTGCAATTTGATATTTCTTTGGACGTTTTCGTTTGTTATCTTATGTTGTTGTGTTTGTCGTTGTTATTGTTATACCTTGTTATTGATTGTTATTGTTATCAACTGCTTGCGCAAAATGCCCAGTAGTACAGATACTGCCGATCAAGTTGGAAACTCCTGTAGTCCACCTAGGAAACGCTCTAAAAAAAGACACCTGAGTGCAGAAATGAAAGAGGTCATTTTGAATATATATAAGATCGAGCGCGAGGAGAACGAGGCATCAACCATCAAAGAAATTGTTGTGAAGGTTTCTCACAAAGTTGGGGTGTGTCGCGCATCAGTGTTTAATGTGTTAAGACGATACAAAAAAAATCACACCTTTTCTGAGCCAATGACCAGTAAACATCGCAAAAGTATTGTTAAATCATTGGATGAAGCTGATAAGCATGCGATTAGGAGGAAAGTGCATGAATTCTTCTTTAGGAATGAAATACCTACTATAGATAAAGTACTGCAGGAGGTAAATGGAGATACAACGTTGCCAAATTTCAAACGATCAACTTTCCATGCGTTACTGAAGCATTTAAATTTCAAATGGAAAAAACGGGGTCGTAATAGTTTACTACTGGATAGAGAAGAAATTGTGCTATGGAGGAGGGATTATTTAACAAAAATTGGGAAATATAGAAATCAAAACAG